CTTTGCTTCTTTGCAAAGTTGCAGAAGGGACGTCTTATTTCCCCCCCTCATTCTGAATCGCTGTCATTTTTAATCATTTGCTTTCCTTGAAGACTGCTGGTGACAGGAGAGGGTGACAGCACCCACACAGCCTCCATCATGCAGGCAGGGAGGTGGGCATGTTACGACACCGGCATGGCACTCATTCGGTTCTGTTTCAGCCCCCGTGCTGGGGAGTCCAAGTGTCATTTCATTTGTCGCCTATGTTTGAAGAAATGATCAGCCCTCTGTAGGGAGTAGAGTTGGCTGAATAGGGGCTCTGTCCTGACCATTGGGCCTCCTCGGCCCAGTGGGAGAAGCACTTAGGCCAGTGGTTCTCAACCTTCCTAATGCCTGCACCCTTTAATACAGTTCCTCATGTTGTGTGGCCCCCAACCATAAAATTATTTTTGTTGCTACTTCATAACTGTAATTTTGCTACTGTTAATGAATCATAATGTGTTTTCTGATGGTGTTAGGCTACCTCTGTGAAAGGGTCGTTGACCCTCAAAGGGGTCGCGACCCACAGGTTGGGAACCCCTGTCTAAGATGGTAGCAGCCATGTGACCTCAGCAAGAGCTAGGAAGGTGGGGACAGAGGCGATTTCCTCTTGAAGAGCAGAAGGAGAAAACTCAGAACAGAGAAGCACACTGGGCTCCTCACTTGTGAGATTGCAAGCCCCCTGCTGACTGCTCTGAGTTCTGAGGCCTCTTTCCCCCATGCCAACCTTTCATCTCTGTGAAGCTCCCAGAGCTGCTGGTTGCCATGTGGCAGCCTAACGTACCACCGCCTCAGCATCTCAGCTCCAGCCCAAGGTGCTTTTGGTTTAAATTTGGCTTCTGTTCCAGGCAGCCTTTTCCTCTTTCTTACCTTTAACTTCAACACGATGCTATGACCATCCATGCCTAAACGTCTCACAAACAAATGGGCCAGACATGTCTTCTGTGGGGTAACTCCAGACCGTCCACAACTACGTGTGTGTTGGGAAAGAGACACATGAAGCCGACCTACCCACCTAATCTTTTCAAACTCTATTCTGGTCTCAGCCTTGCTTCCTTTTCATATCATTGGGCTTGATGTCTAGCTGTAACCCCCAGAGACCCTATGGCACACAAAGCCTAAACTAGTTATTAGCTTATCTTTTCAGAGTGGATTTCATAAGCAATAGACAGAGCTGCCCTAGTCAATTTCTCAAGTCTTATGGATCACGTGGTCATAGTGATTATTCTTGGCCTTGGGTATCAAACTGTGTAAATCCAAAAGCTATTCTGACACTTCTAAGATGGGCGGTGGTGAAAAGTCACCTTACCTCTCCATGACTCAGTTTCTCATCTCACAGTGGGGATGGCAGTAGATATAAAGCTGTGCATAGTGAGAAGGAGTAAATGAGATAATGCATATACATTATTTAGGACTGGACTTGTCACATAGAGAGCATCAAAGCTGTGAGCACCTTTGTAAAATCTGAATTTGATTGGATGCACTTACATGTCCTGAGCATTTGCTATGTGCCAGTTACTGCACACACACTTCATTTATATGACTCCCATTTACTCCCAGCGGCCCACAAAGGTCAAATATTGTTCACTCGGTGCGCAAAGACTTTGACCACAAAGCCTACTCTTGAGGATGTCAGCGATTTTTAACTTCTTTTTAACAATGCAAGTATTTTTCTTTCAGTTGAAAAAAAAAGATTTGTCATGAAATACAGTATTGATTTGCTGAAATCTGTGCTTAATGGTTTAAACCGCTGTTGAACACGTCTCGTTGACTGGAACAGTTTTAGATTTCCAGCTCAGAAATGCATCAGCATGTGATGGGCTAATGGGAGGGAGAAAACTTTCACCCCATGAATACCAGCTTATGGCCTTGACATTTGAATGCCCCTGTGCATCCATAAGAGTGTGTTTCTGTTTATTTTTTGAGGAATTGAGAGTAAATATTTGGCTGAGGCTTGGAAAGTCTTCTTAAAACCCAAGTTCTCGGCATCTCCATGGAAACATTGATGCATGTAGTATAGGTGTTGCCTGCACCCACTTCATCAAAAGGACAAATGCCTTCCATGGCCTGACATCTTCAGGAAACGCATGTTATCCAGTCTCCACTGCCCTATGAAAGTAACAGAAGGTGACTGCTGGCTTGTGAAATTATAGAATCCCAAAACCGGATAAGCATCTCAGCAGGAACACAAGCCACACAGAAGAAGGAAGTGACTTTCCTGAGAAGGCACCATCAGCCAAAGCTGGACTAGAACCCAGATCTCTTCTACCTGCTCGTCCACTGCTCTCCACACAATCCCTGCAGCCACGACACACCCCCAACCGACCTTTTCAATCTCCCCAACCGACCTTTTCAATCTCCCCAGCCCACTTTTCCCCAGTCTCAGTTTGATGGCTCTTCAGAAAGGCTGTTTCCTCAGCTCTGAATCACTATCACCATTGACAAAGCCCAGCTTTCGTCCTCTTCTGCTTGGATGCTCTGATCCCCTTTTAATGCTCTCTGAGTGTAAAACCACGTCTCCAATCCTGCAGCTTTGGATACAAGCTTCAGAGTCTTTTCTGTTGGTGAGACAAGCCTTGTAGGTTTGCTCCAACTCTAACCATTACAGAAACAAAAATTAAAATGAAGAACACAGCCGTAAACCTTCCAAATACTTTTATCCCCATAGGGCATCCTTTAGCAGCTGTCTCTAAAAGGAGGCAGCATTTTACATCCTCTCTCTGCCACTTTTATTTTTCTTTGCTTCACTGTTTTATGTTTTCTTGTTAAAGAAAGAAAGGCAGTAATGTTGAGAAGTTGCCAAAGAAGTGGAGTTATCTCTAATTTTATTTTCCTACCTACTTTAGAATTGAGTATCCATCCCCATGTTCAATGGTGATCATTCCTGCCTCGTTAAATAATTTTAAAAAATGGAGACAGTATGCACACCAGCTAATTGAGATCTAGGGACTGAATTAGGCACAGCCATGTCATGGAGGGAATTATATGTTGCCAGCCTTTTGGAGGGGACATGATTGGGAGGGGCATAGAGGACTTCGGAGATGATGATAATGTCCTATATCTTGATCTGCATGATGATTTCAAGTATGTGTACATATTTCAATTTTTATCTAGCACTTTATTTTATACCAGAGGCTTCCTTGCAGGAAGATTCCTGCAATAGGGCTTCCTGTGGCGGTCTCCGCCATCCTACCTGCTTCCCTCCCTTATCCCTCGCCCCGTTTGCTTGCTTCTCTGAAGCTTGGCTTCCTTCTATGCTGTCTTCAGTCTTCACTCTGTGCCTGGATATGCAAATTATCCATGATCTTGGTTGTGTTAATTTGCATACTCACTCCTGATTGGCTGGTGGGCATAGCAGAGGTATGGTCAATTTGCATGTTTCTCTTTTATTATATAGGAGGATATATTATAGCTCAATAAAAATAAATGTATCCCAGGAAAGTCCCATGCTTGTTGACATGAAACATGTTCACTGTGTGTGGTATGAAATGAGAAGAGAAGGTAATTTGTAAAAGAGTTTGCCTGGTAAAATCCTATTTGATGGGGTTGAAACAAGGGTTGGCAAACAACGGCCCATGGACCAATCTCTTGTTGAAAGTAGCCTTTTACTGGAAAAGAGCTGAGTCTATTCATTTATATTATCTACAGCTGCTTTCTTCCATGCTGTGTGTTAGTTCCTGGTGCTGCCATAACATGTACCACAAACTGTGATGGTTAAACGACAAGGTGATTTATTTCCTAGTCCTAGAGCCTGGAAGTCAGAGATCAAGGTGCTGACAGGGCCATGCTTTCTCTGAGGGCATTGCGGAAGGAGCTGCTCTGCCTCCCTCCCAGCCTCTGGACCTGTGGCAGCATCACTCCCCCCTTCCCATGGTGTTGCTCTGTGTGTCTATGCCCACACATCCCCTTCCATAATAGAGGAAGGGCCCGCCTAACAACCTCATCTTAACAATAACATCTGCAATGACCCCACCTCCAAATAAGAGCATTTTGTGAGGGGTTGGGGGTTAGGACATCAACATATGAATGTGGGGGGAGGGGAACACAATTAGGCCCATAACATGTTATAACAGCAGAGTTGAATAGTTGTGACAGAAACCTGATGGCACACAAAGCCTAAACTAGTTATTAGCTTTTCTTTTCAGAAAAATTACCAGCTCTGTTTTAAAAGAGTGTGTATGTGTGACTCTGTGCATGTGTGTGCACACGCACAAAAAGTTTGGAAGTTTGGGCCTGGGCCAGGTACCTCAGTTGGTTAGAGCATTGTCCCAATACACCAAATATTGGGTTCGATTCCCCTTCAGGGCACATACAAGAATCAACCAATAAATGCATAAATAAGTAGAACCACAACAAATCAGTGCTTCTCTTTCCCTACCTTTCTTCCTCTCTTTCTCTCTTTCAAATCATTTTTTTTTTTAATTTGGAAGGTTGTTCACCAATATGATTGCCTTTGAGTTATGGAATTATGGGCAATTTTAATTGTACTTGTATTTTTAGTATTTTCTACATTATTTGTGTTCCTAAAAATTATTATATCATGTTTTTGTAATATAAATACACAGTAAGTATGTTTCTTTTGGGAGGAAGAGACCTTATTCTTATTGACTCCCTTGCCTGCCTGCCTGCTACCCCAAATCGTCCTGCCTCTTAATAGTTTGTTCTGATGCAGCCTTTCTAAATAGGCTGCGATCCTCCACTGTTGGGAGTACTAAGGGCAACACTTAAACCAGCAAATTCAACTGTTTACTCACTTGGGCGTAAGGATTCTTCACGCCTTTATTTAGTTGCCTCTTGAAACTTGGAGAAAAAAGTTCTGGCTCTTCATTAAAAATAGATCCTTTTATGATGAGAGGATGGAGCGGCCCTGAGCCATTGTCTCCCATGAGAAAGAAAGTGTGCGATGCTGGATTGGGCCAGGAGCTGGGCACTGAGATGGTACCCCACCATTCCCATGACTCCCTGGTTTCTTGTCATTGCAGGAAACTGGACGCTTTCATCTACGATGCGGCAGTCTTGAATTACAAGGCTGGGCGGGATGAAGGCTGCAAGCTGGTGACCATCGGGAGTGGGTACATCTTTGCTACAACTGGGTATGGAATTGCCCTCCAGAAAGGCTCACCTTGGAAGAGACAGATAGACCTGGCCCTGCTCCAGTTTGTGGGTGATGGTAAGACCTTGGGTGACCCCCTACTTTGAAGGACTTGAGACCCTTGCACTTTGGTCCACCCCCCGTGACTGGCTTTCCAATGGATGTTTGTGTGATGACTTTGCACACTAAAAGTATTTATTGAAAGCTTATCACATTGATACCACCGTTCTTTGGGTTGCTTATAATGGAAACCAAATTATAGATAGCCATGTTTTTTTAAAGGAATTTATTTTGGGGATGCAGCAGTGTCCCTCTCAGTGAATTTAGAAGAGAGTTGAGCAAATGGATTTAGAGGAAGAACAGCAACTGGGGCAGTCCTTGGGCCTCAACAGCACGAAATCAGTTTCTCTCTCTCTCTCTCTCTCTCTCTCTCTCTCTCTCTCTCTCTGGCAGTGGTTTTCAAGAGGGAGCACTTGACTATGTCTGGAGACATTTTTTATTGTCGTGACTCTGGAGTCTGTTTGCTACTGGCATCTAGAGGGTAGAGGTTAGAGATGAGGGATGCTGGCAAACATCTTACCATGCTCAAGACATCCCCACCCCCACATCTCAAAACACAGAATTATCTGAGCCCAGATGTTAGTAGGACTGGAGCTGAGAAACTCTGCCCTGGAGCAGTGACATTACATAACCAGCTCACAACACGTCCTAGTCTCGCATCTCTCAATTCTAAATTCCAAAATCCAGAGGAAGGATTCCTGGAGCATTTGGGGCTAAGGGCCCATCAGGACTGAAAAAAGGTAAGGTTATGTTGTACCAACACAACAGTTCCTGCTATTATCTGAGGAAGAAATGAAAGAGAAGCAATTTCTAGAAAAGGAATCGTGAACAGAAATCTTGTGGGCTTTCACCACAGTTCACTTCTTGACTTTCTATTATGCAAAAAAAATAAAATAAATAAATAACAGTTTCCATCCTTATGGGTATTATGGAATTCATGGAATCTAATTGGGTCAATTCTTTCTAGCAGGATTTCCTTCTGTCTGTCCTCTCTTTCCAAGTTGGTGATCTCACCATAGCCTTTGCCATGACATCGTTTTTTACAATTCTGCCATGGCTCGGATGGCAGGCTGGTTCCCCTCTGAACTGCTAGCACTGAGATAGGAAAGACAAAGCCAGCAGAAATGGCAGGTTAACAGGGAAATCATGAGTGAGTGTGAGTAGGGTACAGACACACAGGATGCAGGGCAAAAGCTGTAGTCAAGAACGAGGGGAGGCTACAGTCAGAGTGGTTACAGAATATGCTATGCCTGCCTAGAGTGGGGAGAGGAAAATCTGGTGATTCCTGTGGCCAGTACATTGAAATGGGCAGAGGTTAGTGCATAGGGTTGGTGAGCATTCGAATCAAGTACATGATCTCTTGCAGCTTCTTTCTTCTTTCAGAATTGAACCCTGATTCTCACAGTGCCCTCAAGAAATCTAAATATGTTTTATATTTAACTGCTAAATAGACATCTTATTCTCTTAATTCCCTATGGAATAGCATTTGCACCTTCCTCAGATCGTGAGCCCTGTTCTCCTCTGTGTTATAGCTTCGTGGCTGTGTGGTTCAGCTTCGGCTGTGAAATCTTAAAGGCACTCACATTCATTTTGCTCATGGGAGTGCAGGTGGAATGGAGGACCTCGCCTCTGGCTGTGATGGCTCCGGTGACTCCACTCCCTCTGCAAGCCCTTGGTCAACTGTGTGGTCTGTGTTCCACGTGTATCTATTCTGGGCCTCAGGCTGAAAGGTCAGCAGCCACCTAGGAGAATCTCTTGTGTTGGCTGTGTCAGAGGCACAAAAGGAACACCTACATGGCACATGCACATTTCAATTGGCTGCTTTGTCACATTCATATCTATTAACAAATTTCTGTCTAGACAGGTGGCCAAGCCCAAGGTCAAAGGATTGGAAATATGCTCTACCTTTTATGAGAGGAGTTTGATGTTATATGACAAGGTATATAGACACAAACAGGGATGAAAGATTAGTTCTGATGGTTCCTTTTACCACCGTGGTTGCCTAAGCAACCCTACACGGAGTGAACTACTCAGCAAACAAGAGTATTATTTATAACAGTAAGCGCCACAAAATTCTGAACATGACAGATAACTGGCCAATGAAAGATTTTATGAATAAGTACGCACATGGATGAATGATTAGTGTTGGGATGTGTTTCATTTGACAGGAAACTTTTAAATATGGAGGATAGCTGTCAAATAATAAGCTCTAACTCTGCTCCTACCCACCATTGCTGTCACTCATGCAGAATCTGCTATAAAACAGCAACATATTTAGGGAATAAGATATGTCAATTATTATACTGGATACATTGCAAATGTTCTTTAATTTAATATTGCTACAACCTATGAAGTGAAATATTGCTTATACCCATTTCACAGAGGAAAAACTGAAGCTCAGAGGACTTCTGAGCCCCCTACCTAGTAAGGGGAAAAGTTTCTACTCAAGGGGCCTTAATGCAGAAGGGAGTCAATTATGTAAGACTCCTGATACATTTCATTCTATAAGTTGTCTTTCAAAATTGGCTAATTAGACACTTAAGATTTGTAGACCCTTTAGGAAGGAGTTATTTAGTGCATATCTGAACTAAATCTTTTGTCCCATTTATACTAGTAAATACTTCTGCGAAAGAGGTGATTTTCTTAGCTTTATCTGTGAATGAGTACAGACATATTTACCTGATAAGGTTGGTGTGATGATGAAATGAGACAATGCAAGTAAAGAGCTTAGCTAGCACAGCACCTGAATATAGAAATGGTTCAATAAATGGTAACTGTTATCATCATCATCACCAACATTATTATCACCATCATCATCACCAACACCACCACTGTCATCATTGTCACCATCAACATCAGCATTACGGTCATCACCATAATCAGCATCTCCAACACCATTATGACCATCATCATTAACATCATCACCATAATCAGCATCCCTAACACCATTATCATCACTGTCATCATTACCACCATTAACACCATCATTACCATCCTCCTTCTCCACTTCCTCCTTCTCATCATCACTGTTCATCCGCAATTCCAATATTCAGCACACCTTATTGAGTGCTGTATTGGTGAAAATATGGTCCAGCTGGTATCTTGAAAACAACAAAAAAATGTCCTCTTTTTGGAAAATAAAAAATAAAGGCATTCAGATAGGCCAGAGGCATGTTCCCAGTACCAGCACTGTCTAGATTCTTATAAATAAGTTCTGGCTCATTGCTTTCCTGGTCAGACTGTCGGGGTTGGGAAATGTGTCTTCTCAGCTTCATCTTCAGAGACCATCTGGAGGCAAAGACATTGAAGAGAAATGACGTTGCTCCTGGGGGCGTCTTAACATAATCTTCCCGGAAAGCCGTGTCCAAATTCTGAATGTCTCTCTAGGAGTAAATACATAAATTAACACAGCTGCATAAATATTTCACTTATCTTATGTAGCTTCAACAGGATTAATTATGCTCTAAAGTTAGACCTGTAAAGAGCAGTGCCTAATTATTATTCAGCCTCTAGAATAGAGTGTTTATCTCTTGTTGTAGAGTAGCTTTGGCAGACAATTACGAGTGTAATGAATTTCAAAAGTATTTTTAAAAATGTTCTTGCCCTAATCAGTTTGGCTCAGAGGATAGAGCATCAGTCTGCGAGCTCAAGGGTCCCAGGTTCGATTCTGGTTAAGGGTATGTGCCTTGGTTGCGGGCACATCCCCAGTAGGGGGTGTGCAGGAGGCAGCTGATTGATGTTTCTCTTTCATCAATGTTTCTAACTCTCCCTCTTCCTTTCTCTCTGTAAAAAAAAATCAATGAAATATATTTAATTTTTTTTTCTTAATGAGCGGCATAAATATAACCTTTGAAGGAGTGTCAGGTTATTGGGGGAACTTCTTACATGAAGCCCACCAAGCATTTCCCTAGGGAAAAGGCCACTGGTCTGCCATAAGAGATACACAGGATCCCAACAAGATCTTTCCTTTCTTTTTCTTGTATGATCTTTGTTTCCTCTCTGAAATAGTGGAATGCACCGTGGGGATCTTTGCTCTCAGTAGTTTAGTAATAACACTCATAGGTTCTTTTCAGCTTTGATCATGACTATCTGTCATTTACTGAGAAACATACCTTCCACCTGACAGATATGGTTTAATTGGTTGGAGGATTGTTCTGTGCACCGAAGGGTCATGGGTTCAATTCCTGGTCAGGGCACATACCTAGGTTTTGGGTTCAGACCCTCTTTGGGGCATATATGAGAGAAACATCACCACAATCGATGTTTTTCTCACACTGGTATTTCTCTCTCTCTTTCCCTTCTGCTCTTTAAAATTAATGGACGTATCCTCGGATGAATGAGGATCTAAAAACAAAAGGAAATATACCTTTCTAAGCACAAATGTTTTAAGAAGGAAATATCACAATCTTTTTTTCTTTCCTCCCAGGAACTTATAGTCTAGTTGGTGGGTAATATATAAACTTAAAATGTCTAATCTCGAAATATGAACATATTTACAATAATGCATGTATATAAAGTTATATATATATACATATATATATATTACTTTATATACATGCATATTCTTAGTGTCTTGTGTAGATTAGAAAGTAGTCAAGGTGAGATATGAGATAAACTAGTGTGCTTTTTTTTTTTAAAGTGGAAGAATGAAAAGACTAAAAAGGTCACACACAAAAAAATAAGTATAGTGAGATTTAGTTAAAATTAGCCAAAGCTCATAGAACCTCATTCCTTAACTCATTCAACACTGAGCAATTATCTGCTGAGTACATGGTATCTCTCTGGCACCTAAAAGGTAACACTTGAGTGAGAACATAAATAATGAATAAATCTGGAACTTAAAAATGGCATTCTTGCTTTGGAGGGCAAAGGGGTGTTGAACAGGTGATCTCATCGGTCCCACCAATCTCATAGATTTTGTAAATTTTTTATGTGGTTCTGGGATTTGAAGAGACAGAAAGAAGGAAGATAAGAGGGGTTAAAGCTCTATTGATGTATAGAGCCAGCAAAAAGATATT